CCGTGGCAGCAGCAGCCTCTATGGCAGCAGCTTCGGCAGCGGCAGCGGCAGCGGCAGCAGCTTCGGCAGCGGCAGCGGCTTTGGCAGTGGCAGAGGCTTTGGCAGCGGCTTTGGCAGCGGCTTTGGCAGCGACGGCGGCCTGGCTGGGTCACGAACGCCCATCTTTCAACCCATACCCACGGCTGCGTCCCGCAGCATTAGCATGGGCGGCCTCGGTAACCCAAGCCGCAGCTCCACCACCACCACCACCAGCGGGAGCACCAGCACCACCAGCAGCGGAAACGGCGGTCTCAGCAGGCACGGCACCTTGGCAGGTTCATTCGGCTCCGGCGGGCTGCTGAGTCGCAGCCGTGACCAGCCGAGAAGCATCGGCGGCGACGCAGCCCGCGGTGGCGGCGGCGGCGTTGCCACCTCCCCGCAGCTGTCGCCAATGCTGCGGCCCTCTTTGTCGCCACCTATCGGGTCCCTCGGTTTGTACAACAGGGCTGCGCAGGCCGGGGCAGCTCAGCAGCTGGGGGCGACCGCGTCCATCACCCAAAAAAAGGCCCTGAGCGGCAGTTACAGGACCCCCGCCGGCGGCGGCGGGCTGCGTTCCGCGGCGCAGTGGCGCGACGCGTACGCCGGCGGCGCCGTGGCGCCCGGAGGGTCGCTATCCGTGGAGGACGCGCCGGTGCCGGCGCCGGCGCCGGCGCCTGAGCCGGCCGCGTCGATCGCGCTCAAGGTGACCAGCACGTGCCCCGGCGCCACCCTGGAGGCCCTAGTCCACCTGCGCGACGCAGAAAAGGGCGAGTGGCGCACCGCCGGGTTCATCACTGTGGGGGCAGGCTCCACCGCGGATGTGTGCCGCACCGACAATCGCGTCGTGTACGTGTACGCGCGTCAGCGCGGCGGCGAGGACTGCGACGGGGGCGGCCGCTGCTGGAGGGGCGCGGCGGGGCCGTGGTCGTTCGAAGGGAAGGATTACAAGTTTCAGGAGGTCACGATCCCGGCCGACGCCGGCTCCTATTACGTCCACACTTTCAAGTGCTGATCAGGCGACCTGGCTGGGGGCCGTGCACACCCGGCATGGCGCTGCGTCGCTGCCTCCTCCCTTTCCGCACACATCTTCAGCACACCGCCCGGGCCGGCCCTGCACGCGTCGCCAGTGGTTTTGAGGCCTGCGGCTGCGGGTAGCCGAACAAGACTTGTCAGGTCATTGCGGGTCTACCCCCATACAAATTTGCGCATACGACTGGATCCCCTATGTGGGGGTTGTGCGGCGCGGCTCACCCAGCACCACCATTGTCCGTATGAAGGTGGAGCGGCCGGCACTGCAGGCTGGCATCGGCTGGGGCTTGCCAGGGTCGTGTGCGGGCTGGTGTGCGGCAACGGGATCGCATGGTTCGGGTCGATAGGGCCGTGTCCATGTGTGCATTTCAGTGAGTGATGTCACTCATCAATCGCTCTCCAGAGGGCGGGCAACAAATCTGTAGCCCGCGCTTCAAGCCCCAACAACTTACGTGCCTTTTCGCATCAGGGGCTCAACTGGCTGTCAGTGGAGGGCGCGACTTGCCCCCCGGTGCTTGAAAGCCAGCTCGCGTGGCCGGTCTGTAGTAGTGTTGGATTTTGGCGATGCTTTGACCTGGAGTATCCACCGCGGACTTAATGGCTGAAGAACTCTGCGCACTCACGCGCCCGCGTTGCTGCTCTCCTCCCTTTGCGGCGCCGCCTGCCCTGCACTGCAACACACCACCTCATTGCCCCCGCGGCGACTGCCTCACTCATTGGACTGTCACGTAAGCACCGTGCTGCACTGCCCTGCGTATGTACGTCATTAACCTTGCTGCATTTCGCTCTGCACTCTGATTTGTTTGCCTTCCTGCCTGCACACGTAGCCTGCTTGTGTGGGTGCCCTGATGCGCGCCACATCCCAAGGCGCGCTTGGCGCCATTGTCTATGTTTGCTTTGGGAGGCACGCACGCACACAAGCCCCTAAAGTAGTGCTAGTACATATTTAATTGCAATGCAGTGCAATAACAAGATTTTGCATGCATTCAAATGCGAGCAACACAATCAAGATGACATGCTGTTACAATCCTCACATACCCTATCAGCTGATCCCGTGGCCCAGCGTGTGACGCATGTATGCAGGGCACCTGTACCAAACGGCTTCTGCGCCCTCGCGACACTTGCCGGCGCACGCCAGCATCCCAGGTTCAGGCTCGCGCATTATTGCAGCGGGCGGATGGGTGCTGCTCGCGTTGCGGCGGCCGGGGCACCCTGGTGGCGTTGCAGCACCAGCTTACTTAATTCAGTCAAGTGAATTGGAGCCGTGAAACCAAAGTACTAAGCAGCAGGTGCCCCAAGCAGAGCAGGGGTTTGGCTGCCTGACGGCGCGCGTGCACCTGCTTCAGTGCGCACCGCTCCGCGGCTGAATCATAAACTGATGCTTCCCTCCTACCTCCCGCCTTCCCCGCCTGCACCGCTGCCCGAGCCGCATGCACCCCATGGGTCCGCCGTGACAGGGACAAAGGCCCAGCTTGTTGTTTGCGCTCATAGAGCAGGACAAGCATGTCTTGCCCCCCACATCCGCTACACCCGCACCGCAACCCCAAGTGCGCCAGCTGTGCGTGTTACTGGACCCCCCCCAAACATTATAAGGGCAACTGCGGGGCGTGTGCAGGTGTGAAAAGCCGGTGGCATTTGATTGCTTCTGGGATGTTTACACAGTCAGCACGCAGGAACGTGGCGACCTCACAAAATCGTCACCAGCCTGCTACAGGGCAGGAGATCTGGAGAAACAGGCAAAGCACCTGACGCTTGGTGCGCCCCACCTCCTCCCATGAAAGTTTCTGATCTTCACGTTTGCTCAGGTGGAGCTCAGCTTGGTACGGCGCTGGCGTGCGCGTGTGAGGGTGCGGTACAGAGACGAGCGATCGAGTGACAGGGGAGTCACCTGCTCGGCTGCTGTGGACAAGCCCCCCCCAGCTGCAGGCACAATAACCTGTCATGACACGCAGTTTTTGGTCGTAGCTGGAAGTCCCAAGTTGTATGCTTGGACGATACACACCATCCGTGGAAGTGCCGAACGCCATCTGCTTGCGTGGCCCCGCAGGGAGTGCGTTTGATACGCAGCTGCGCGGAGGGGTGCACGAATGGCGCCTTACAATATTGCGTTCTTTTCTGTGGTCACGGCGTTGCTGTCCACCACAGCAGCAGGTGGGCGTTCAGCGTGGCCGGGCGTCACCATCATGAGCTGATGCCCCCCTGGGTGGGGGCACCCATGCAACTCTGCACGCTGCAAAGACAAAGCCAGTAACGTATTATAGCAGTGTGTTGAAGTCGCGTAGTGTGCTGTGGGGGGCTGGGAGTCCCGTCACCCACGGCTGGTGGGGCCGCATCAATCCAGGGGATCCGCTCCGGAGCTCTTCGTCCGGCCCCGATTAGTCATGCACCCGTTCCTTGCTGTGAGGGCTCATGAGACAATTGCATACGCCCCCCACATTCCTGCAGGCCAGCGCATCAGCACCGGCTTTGGGGGGTCCGGGATAAGGGGCGGCGGATTCGGCAGCGGCTTTGGCAGCGGCCTGGGCGGCGGCCTGGGCCAGGCTGATCCCCGGCTGCGGGTCCTTCAACCCATCCCCAAGGCTGCGTTCAGCGGCACCGGCACCATTCAGGTGTCTGACCGCCGGAGTAGCACGGGCAGCCTCACTGACCGAAGGAGCAGCAGCAGCAGCAGCGGCAGCAGCAGCGGCAGCGCCGGCAGCACCGCGAGCGGCGTTCTCAGGCGGGGCACTTCAACAAGTTCGGTCACCACGGGGGTGCTTGTGAGCGGCGGCCGCACCCAGCCAAAGCAGCAGCAGGGGCAGCTGAGCAGCACCACCAGCGCAGCCGGCCGCGGCGGCGGCGGCGGTGTTGGCACGATCGTGCTGCGCTCCCCGGCAGCGGCGCCCAAAACGACGTTCACGACCGGCGTCTTGACTGTCTCCAACAAGGCCCAGGCCAACCAAAAGCAGAACCAGCAGGCGTGGAAGGCCGGCCAGAGCAAGCAGCAGGCGCAGCAGACGCGGGCGGCCGTCGCGCAGCGGCTGGCTCGAATCGGCGCCTACGGCGCCGTCGGGGCCGGGCTGCTGCAGGCAGCAGCGGCGCAGCTGCGCAGCAACTATGCCAGCGGCGCCGCCGCACCCAACGGATGGCTGCCCGGAGCGGGCGCGCCGGCAGGCGATGAGCCCGCACCGGGGCCAGAGACCGAGCCGGCGCCGGGGCCAGAGCCCGAGCCGGCGCCGGAGCCCGAGCGCGAGCCCGAGCCGGTGGGGCCAGAGCCCGAGCCGGCGCCCGAGCCCGAGCCCGAGCCAGCAACAGAGCCCGAGCCCGAGCCCGAGGCCGCACCTGAGCCCGAGCCAGCCGGCGCCCGCGGCTAAATCGGCGCCCGCGGTCCGGGCGGCGCCCGCGGCCCAGTCCGCGCCTGCAGCCCAGCCCGTGCCCGTGGCCCAACCCGCGCCGGCGGCTAAGCCGACGCCCGCGACCGACCCAGCGCCGGCAGCCCAACCCACGCGGGCGGCCCAGCCGGTCGCGCTGAAACTGGCCAGTACTTGCCACGGCACCACACTAGAGCCCTGGTCCACCTGCGCGACACAGGCAAGGACGACTGGCGCACCGCCGGCTTCATCACCGTGGCGACGGGCTCTCCCGCGGACGCGGGCCGCACCAACAACCGCGTCGTGTACGTCTTCGCGCGGCAGCAGCGCGGCGGCGAGGACTGCGACGGGGGGCGGCCGCTGCTGGAGGGGCGCGGCGGGGCCGTGGTCATTCGAAGGGAAGGAATACAGGTTTCAAGAGGTCACGATCCCGGCAGACGCCACATCTTCCTATGTACGCACTTTTCAGTGCTGACCAGGCGGCCTGGTGGACGTGCACGTTTTGAAAATGCACACATTACAGCTGTTTGCGCAGCGGCGCACAGCTTCCTCACCTTAAGGCGAAGCTTTGTGCACACATCATCCGCACACTGGTTGGGCCGGCCGTTCGTCACCCGTGGATTTGAGGCCGGGCCCCCCGCCAGCCAAAGAAGACTGATGAGGTCCTTGTGTATCCACTGCAACAATGACAAGCAGCAAGACTGGATTCCCCAGTCACCCGGGGAATTTGTGTCGCAGCGCACCAGCCACCAGCATCCTCTGCAAAAAGAACTGGCCACATAGTGGTGTGGTGGTGCGCTTGCGGTCCAAAGGGCGGGGGCTGCGCGCCAAGGCCAACCCCTACCGTGCGACCTGGGCCGAGGCGGCTGCCCCGCAGCGGCACGCGCCGGTGTCGAGTTTGAAATCATCCCCATGCAGGGGCTCCTGGTGATGATAGCGCCAAGCCTCAGGCAGAATTCCCTATGCATCCACCCAAAACAGGCAACTTCAGGGCGACGCTGCGTTGAAACGAAGCCTGCTACACACCTGCATGTGTTTTTGCTTGTGCCAAACCCCGCACTTCGGCAACCACCAGCACGCGCGCGCGCTCACGCGCCTGCATGCGCTACTGCTCCGTAATTGTTTGCGCTGTCGTCTTCTCTGCACACACTTCAACACCAAAAATCATCGCGACGAAGGCCCAACCATGGATTCCACTGCGAAGCACTTGATTTACTGCACTGCCATCCAAATACAAACAACGAAGCTGTGGACCAACTTGCTGAACCGCGCCCAGGCCCCCTGTTGCCCACTTGACTGCACACACAGCCCACTCGCGTCTCTACCCTGGTGCCAGCAGCAGCGCAACACGCGCCCAGGGCGCTTGTCGGTTTATGCTTTCTTCGGGAGGCAAGCACGCACGCCAGCCACAAAAACACTGATCCTGTCATATCAAGCCACTGCAAAGCAATCCAGGACAATCCCATGGGCCTGCGTGGATCGAGGGCGAGCAACAACCCAACACGTCGTGCTGTAAAAAACCCAACCCTGATACTGTGCGCGGCCCAGCCTCAACTGCATGCAGCCGCCATGCTCAGAAGGCTTCTGCGCCCTCCCATATTGTGCGGGCGCGCACCAGCGCCCCACCTTCAGGCCCCCTGGATGGTGCTGTGGGGCCTACGGGTGCTGCTTTCATGTTTTCCAGGCAGCCGAGGCACCCGGGCTTTTCCAGCACCCGCCGTCTCGATCGGATCAAAGAAAAGAGGGCCTGGTGAACACCGAGGGACGCAGCAGCAGTCGCCCCGAATACAGATCAGGGCGTGGCTGCAGACCAGCGCGCGTGCGTGCGCGCCTGCTTCAGGGTGCATCGCTCCTCGACTGGATTGCAGCAGCGCGCTTCCCCCCTCTGCCGAACCAGGGCCCCGCTGCCGCCCTTTCTGCCCACCTCTCCAGCAATCGCCCGGCCAGCTGTGGCGCCCACCGCAAATACGCTGTTGCAAAGCCATCAGCGACACACTGCAATCGCCAGAGCTTCGCAGGAGCAACTCAGGGCATTCGTTCGCTTACACAGGTGCAACTCCTGTGGGCTGATTTAACCGGCGACAGTAGGTTGGGGTTCTCAAGATTTTGGCTGCAAAAGATACCCACAAAACGCAGCGGGCCGCACAACAATTGCCCCCTATCCCTCCGCTCCTCAAAACCGCCGCCCCCGCCGCCGATGGCTGGGCGGTTGCCGACGACGCCAGACGCGCCGGCCTCACAGAACATGCACAGCTCCCGAGGCCGGGGCGATCTCATCCCAGATCTCCAGATCATGTGAGATCTCCAGACCTAGGACCGCACAACCAGCCGCTCCTGGACCTTTTTGAGAGCCGCCTCGGCCGCCTTGGCCACCGCCTGCGCCTCCTTCAGGTCCGCCTCGGCCGCGCGCCGCTCCTCGGCCGCCGCCTGCAGCCGCTCGGCCGCGGCGGCAGCCTCGCGGGCTGCGCGGTCGATGGCGGCCTCGGCGGCGGAGGCCTGTTGCGGGTGGGGTGGTCAGAAGGGGTGTGAACAACCGGGTGAAAGTGTGTGTGTGCGTGTGTGCGTGTGTGCGTGTGCGTATGTTTGTGTGTGTAGCAAAACTTGGCAGACCTCAGCCAACCTCGGAAGACCGCACAAATCAAACGGCACGAAGCCACCAACCTGCTTCAGCACGGGCGCGGCCTCGCGCTTGATCTCCGCCACCTCCTTGGCCGCCTCCCTGGCCGCCGCCTGCGCCTCCCTCAGCTCATCCGCCAGCTCAGCCAGCTGCTCCTTCACCGCCGCCGCGCGCGCCCGCTGCTCCTCCCGCTCCTTCTCCGCCCTGCGCTTCGCTTCCTCCCTCTCAGCCGCCGCCCGCTTCGCGGCCGCCTCGCGCTCGGCGGCGGCCTTCTTGGCGGCCGCCTCGCGCTCCGCCTGGCCGCGCGCGGCCGACGCCTGCGTCTTGGCGGCGCTGCGCGCCTCGGCGGCGGCGCGCGCCTTCTCCTGCGCCTCCCTACGGCGGCGCTGAGCTGGCGTCTCCTCCTCGTCCTCCTCGTCGTCCTCGTCAGCGCCCCGCTGGCCGCCGACGAAGAAGAACCCGGTGCCCTGCTTCTTGGGGGGCGCGGGCGTGGACTCCGCGCGCTGCTGCTGGCGGATCTGCGGCGCGGGGATGTGGGGGGTGCGCGAGACGGGAGGGCGGTTGCTCGCGAGCGTGACAGAGAGCAGGGAGCGGGGGCGCGGCGCAGCTGCGCAGGGCTGAGGATGGGCTGGTTCTGGCGGCGCAGCGCTCGTACGGGGGATGCACTTCTCTGCGCCCCTCCCTCCAAGCCAGTAGGAGAGAAGAAGACCCTGGCCCCTACACGACGCGCCCGCGTCACCCTGTGCCCGCCCACCTGCCGCTCCGCCAGGGTGGCGAGGCCCACTGTCTTGCCGCTGCCCCCAAACAGGGGCAGGTTCAGCTTGGGCACCACCGGCGCGGGCTGCGCCACCAACAGCGCGCAGGCGCGGCATCGCGTGGGTCAGAAGGCATCGGGGCCCATCACGGTGACGGCGCAACGGCAGGGGTGCCTCTCCTTCCACCCCCTCCGGCGCTCTGCAGGCCGCTGCCACGGCGCGCCCGTCGCGCCCCCCCATCCTCGCGCGCGACACGCCGGGCGACATGGCATGGCAAAGGCAGCAACCAGGGAGCACCGGCGGCGCCGCCGCGTGCCGCCATCGCACGCGGCCTGCCCACACCTGGCTGCAGCGCAAGCGCAAGCCCTGCGCCTACGCTCACACAGACCCTCCACCCCCCAGATTGGTTTCCCAGCGCAACGACCACCCAGCGTGCCCCCAGATCACCCCACCCTACCCACCTCGTCGTCCTCCTCCTCTTCCTCCTCCTCCTCGGCCGCCGCGCCGTCCTCCTCGATGCGGCGGAACACAAACAGGATCTCGTCATCACTGGCGTCCTCAGAGTCCTGGCACGA